ATTTTACATTGTGAAAACAACTGAGCAACATAAAAATGACAAACTTGTTTTTTTTTTATTTTTTTTGGTATTTATTAAAAAGTAAAAATTTGTTTTATACAATTTTCAGGTGTGGATAAAAATGGCAACATGTTGAATTTAATATTTTATTCCTTAGTCAGCAGGTGCATAAAAATAAATCACTATCAACAAATTAGTCTAGTTTAGTAATTTATTTCAAAAGCAATTATTCCTGTTAATTTTGGTAAGCAATGGTATCTAATGAATATATCTGTTTGTCAGAAAGTTCGAATATTACAGGGAACCAATAATTTCTATTAGGAACATGTTTCTGTTCCTGCATTATCTAACAGACACTAACCAAAACCATCCACAAGGGGGAGCAATCTACCAAGGCACAATCCTGAAGAAGCTGACTGTTCTCGGAGAGCAAATTTACGAAAAGTTGAGTGGAAGGAAAAATACCTCCAGCCTGCTAAGAGTTTGAAGGAAATGTACATAAACTTCAGCTGAGGTCTGTGTGTGAGGCTCCACCTGGACAAATCCAGGACATGAGATTCAAAATTATTGCATTCCTTGTTTTTAAACTCCTCCTGGACCAAAGATGTCAGAATCATCTGCTCCACAGTGGCCCAGAATGACATTTCCACAGTCAATGATGATTTTGGGCTGCATTTCATCTGCTGGTGTTGGTCCACCATATGTTAACTAGTCCAAAGTTAGATCAGCCGTCTAGAAGGATAAAGTACGTTGGCTTCCCTCTGCTGTCAAGCTGTGCAGAGATGCTGATTTCATTTTCCAGCAGGACTCGGCACCTGATCACACTGGTACCAAAAGTTGAAACGGCAGCTTTAATGATCATGATGTTCCTGTGCTTAGGACTCTTGGTCTCAGAGTTTAACATTTAACTTCTGAGATGCACCTTTATGATCTAAACAAGAGCAATGTTTCCTAACCCTGGTCCTCGAGACAAAATGCCCTGTATGGTTTATGTGTTTCTCTGCCTCAGGACAATTGATTTCAACTGATGGCTGATGAACTGATGCAGTAATTATCTGAATCAGCTGCATTGAAGCACAGAAACACCTAAAACATGCAGGTTACTGTGGCTTGAGGACAAGGGATGGGTCATACTGATCATGCTGATTTCAAAATCAGTGTTTTTTTATGTTGACACATAACTAAATTAAATTAATTCAACACATCAAAAGTTACCTTTTTGTCAAATATTGATGGTTTTAATTTTTGAAAACACAAGTTGTGTTGTATATGAACTGTATTCAGATTAAGACACTTCAGCACAGATTTGAGAACAAGGGTAAGATATAAGGGACCTAAGTTGGCTCAAATTCTAGAAAATAACTTACATGGCACACAACAAACCAAAAACCAGCTTCAGCATTGAGTTAACATTAAAAAATGATCCAACAAGGTGAATGTTTTGTTTTCAGATACCCAGAATATTATGACAAGAATAATTTGAATATGGACAAGAATGGAAACTTGAAAATTATATTTTAATTGTTATAATAAAGTAAAAATAAAATAAGAGGAACCCAACAAACAGAATTCTCCAGATTTCAATGAAGAAAAAGACATCATGAGATAAATTTTTTAAATCATACACTCTGATTTTTCTTTTGTATTTTTTTTTTACATATTTTTATAGGAGTCAAACATCCAGTTCTCTGCAATCATACAGTTCAATGAGCAGCTGAACTCCACTATCATCTGGACTGAACTGTAATTTGGGCTGGAATGTT